CAATCACGGGATCGGCCTCCCGCAATAATGATAATGAGAAGGAAGACAGAGCCGCTGTGGTGGGGGAACTGAAGGGCGGCAGTCACAAATCGATGGAAGAGACTGCGGCCTGTCCACAACCGGATTTCCGCAAGTGCCGGCCAACGCTTGAAACTCTGCTGAGCGAACGATATGTTCATGGCACATTTTGCAACCTTATCGAGGTTGTTTCGGACATATCCTTCCTAATAACATTATACTGCTATGAACTCATCCATGGTAATCCTGGTAGGTAATATGACTCCGGGAGCCACACTCACGATCAACTGGTTCTCAAAATTGAGTCAGCAATTACAAGCTGGAAAATTTGAGCCACAAGCGTGGCCTTATCTTATCGTACAGAAAGCCCTCGCCGTGGTGCTGGACAGCATATACGATCCGGAATTTATATTGCGGAGATTTAGTCAATACAATGCCTATCCTCTCTATACTAGGCTCCAACAAGAGCCTGTGCAATCAATCCACTCTCTGCACGTGGCCTATTTTACTACGCTCCTTTAATCTGGCACAGAAAGCCACAACAGGTAAATGTGCAACGAATGTGGGCAGAGTGGCTAAACAGCCTTCCTCCAACGTCTACCTGATTGGAACGTGCATGGTGATTCTTTTCTCTTTCCTTTTTTTTTTTTTTTTACTTTATTGATTTCCGACTGACATCGACTGGGCATACCTACCGCAGACAGAAGGGACAAGAGCCCATGCCTGTTTTAGGTGCCGCTAGGTTGACGGCTCCGCTCTCATTCGTGAGTGCGAAGCAGCACGTGCTGCTAACGGGGACCGGCATGTAACTGGGCCCTGCGTGGAACACCACGCATGATGATTGTGAAGAACCCATGTAGAGGGATCACATACATACCTCATATCAACAGCCGTGCAGAGAAAACTTAAGGCGAACAGTCTAAAGGAGACCCTTCACCAGCGCCAGCCTATGACGAATGATATCTCCATCCCATTGGCAAGCAATGATGAAGGAATGCTACGTTCGAAAAATACTGACCGACCTGTACGAATCGGGAAAACAACAGATGTAGTAAATTCTGAAGAGGGTGAGACCGGTTACTCAAGACACATGTAGTGGAGAACATGATGGCCACGTACGACCTACCGACCACTGAAGTTAGGTTCATGTCTTCTGTCTGCCAGACATCTCATTTCTTTTTTTTTTCTTGGAGTAACTACGGCGCAGTCATGTTTTCAGTTCTAAATTCACTTCAGGCATCCCTATACATCCCCACTCAACCCTAAAGCTGGGTTGGATACATTCACAATTTTTCTTGTTGGAGTAAAAATTTGCCAAACCGTGACTGAAATGCATTTTAAACTGAAAACCTTGACTTCACCCTAGTTCTCCCTTTTTTCTTTCAATGGCCTTTTCATGGCTTATATTCATCCACTGCATGTTCTGTTCAAGGGCTGTAGACAACGCGGAGGAGGAAGAGGAAGGGAAGTTGGGAGATGGGGAGGGGGCGCGTGAAGAGGAGAAAAGGGAGAGAAAAGGAGACGAAGAGTTGTAGACAACTAGTTCGCTCTCTCACTTGGACTCCGTAACCCCATCTCTCTGACACAAAGCACACAGCTACGAAGGTCGCTATGCGAAAGCCAATGAAAGACGAGATCGCATAGATGGTCAGACCTATATCATCGAAGCTGTGGAATGTGCTTCACTACCGACTCGCGTGACGACCTAATAACATGCACTGTGAAACTCTTTCCGGCCCCATTCCTTCACCCCCCTCCCCCTCCCCCCCCCTCCCCCCCCCAAATAATGGTCCGACAGACCATGGATCAGATGTCAAGCTGATCAGCACAGATACACTTTTCTTAGCCAAAAGCCGGAGAACGGTTTCTTTGGGGGGGGATGGGCGGGTGGGGGGGGGGGGCACCGCAGAACATTCTAAACGTGCCTAGATATCAAACTGATCACCACAGATACACTTCTTCTTAGCCGAAAGGCTGAGAAAGGCTTTTTTGGGGGCGGGGGGACCACCGCAGAACATGCTAAACATGCCTGGAGTTGGTAACGGTCCCGATACATTCCAAATGTTGTTGTTGTTGTTGTTGTTGTTGTTGTTGTTGTTTTCACATTCCAAATGTTGGATGGGTCCTAATGTAGGGACAGGAGGTTCAAGAATGATAGATCAATGTCTTATCCA